CTGGTTTTAATCCAATACCAAAGGGCCACTGAAATCCATAGGAACCTGAGCAGCAACAGCACAACGAATGGAAATGAGGGTGTGCGGAGCAGAGAACAGGGATAACAAAGAAAAGGAAATCAAATAAAGGTAGAAAACCAGTAGCTTTTTCCCAAAAGATCAACATAACTAGAATCAAAACCCCTGTAACGGTGTCTCAGCATCTCATTAAGCTCACTTCTCCACGCAAATCAGTACTGAACTGAAAATTCACAAGCAACGCCAATTTTTAGAGGAAAAACCATCAACAAGTCACTCCTATTAAGATCTGGACTGTATTTTGAACAAAGTTTGAATGCAGTTTCCTGGTGATTATTCTCTGCTGCATGTGGCCATTTCTGCCCAAACAACAACAGGAAATTTGAAATAGTTCTGCTGAAAAATGAAATGCAATAATAGTAGTAATAACAATATTTAGTACGTCAGAGTACTTCACATATATGAAGTACTGCACAAACATTAATTTATCCTAATCATCTCCACGAATCAGGTATGTATTATTAATAGCACCATTACACAACCACTGCAGATTCCCGTTATTTCTTCTGCTCACTTCTCTTATTCCTCCTTTCACACGCAGAACGCATCCCTCTGATTTCTTTGCTCTCCTCCTTTTTTCCTTCAAAGTTTCTCACCCACCTACTCTGGCACCCCTACCCTCTCTGTTCCCAGTGCTAAACATTAAAACACACAGGAGGGTTTACGACCCTAGCTAGCCTGAACACTTTGAGCAGGTTCACCTCGTCTACCTGCATCATTTACAGTTCATACTCTACCCAAACTCAGACATTTTTTACTGGATAGACTGATAGCTTGCATAGAATACCCACCAGAAACCTGCAGTCATCTGACAACAATTCAAAACACAGCTCATGGTGTCTGCACCAGCACAGGCACCTGCTTCACCACCAGTCACTTCTTTTGGAAAAGGACAAATGCCTAATTTTTGAGCACTGGAGCTGAGTAAAAAAGCAAATACAGAGCCCCTACAATGACAGAACAAGCCTACTACAGCAAATGCTGGCGACCACTGAGTGGTCTAGTTTTCATCCAGTTTTACAAGGAATTCATTATGGTAAAAAAAAAAATCTGTAATTCCTATCTAAACCACGGAAGCCTTCATCAATTGTTATACAAATCTGTCAGTATCAGCTGATAAAGTATCATGCACATACAGTGCAAGTACTAACACAAGGGAAATTTTCACTCGCATACACAGGCAATATTGAAAATTTAATCAAACACATTAGTCCCTTCTTTGCTGACTTGGGCTGTAACTCATCAATAAGTGCAGAATTTCTCAGGGCAAACACTATGTTGACAGGACTCTTTCCTCTGAAGCAGCACTTTCCAGAGCAGTTTTTAAAATGCTAAGCTAGATCTATTCATCAAGAGTATTTTCTTTAGATGGAAAACAGTATTAGAAGAAAAAGGATGACTTGTTTACTTCTCTGGCCAAAAGCATACAAACAGAAAAGATGAGAAAAACACCTTTACTGAATGGCACAGACCCAGGAAAACAAGCATTAAAAAAATAAACTGCAAACATGACCACGCTAGATTTGGTCTTTATTTAAACATCTGACACACCAAAATATCTGAGGCATTAGGTAAAAATATTAACAGGGCATCAATATTCGACAAGACCTGTCTTCCAGCCTCATTTGAATTAACAGGTGTTAAAATTTTTATCAAAAAATCTAGTCATTACTGCTTTTCTCTCCAGAGCTAGGTAAAACTATCCTTAAATTATCTGTATAGAAGTTAAGTAGCAAACAGAGTCTTGGAAACTTTATGCCTCCCGCCTACAGACAATAAAATTTCTAGACAAATCTTCCTTCCCAATAAAACTCAGAATCAGCTGATTTATAAAATGATTTGAACCAGCCGTGAAGCTTTCAGTCGCAGAGAGAACACAATACGCTTTCTCTCACCCTCCCAGCACCGGGGTGCGGCAGCGCAGAGCCCTGTGTGCCCCCAGCCCGAGGGCTGCCCCAGCAGCACCACGATCCTCACGTGGAAGCACCCAGTGCCCCTGTGCCAGCGGCACTGACACAGCAGCCAGCCCCACGCGGGGAATGGGAATCCAAATGGATGCACAATCCTCACGGCTGCATGGATAGCAGTTTTATGTACTACAGGCATACCAAGGGTTTGCACAGCTTCCCTTGGTATGTAATTGTTGTAATTCCCGTGGTGCTTAATATACCTCGGATCCTTTTATTCATCAAAACTTTGTACTCACAGATTTTTACCATCTTCCCTCCTTTTTTACAATTACCTACGTATGTAAAACTAAGACAGCCAGATTCTCCTTCATTCTCAGTCCTTCCAGAAAGAGATGATGTTCAAAATGTGACAGAAAAATAAAAAGGCAGATCTGGGCAGAAAGCAGAGGTCTCCCCAAAGTCCCTCCCCGAAAAGAGCTTTCTGGCTCTCCTTCTCTTACTCCCAAGTGAGACAGCACCACAAACAGCACCGCCCAGGGCTGCCAGCATGCTTTTTAAAGAGGATTCACGGAAAACGCCGCCAAGAGTAAACTCCAGTTTCCGCTTAGCCTGCCTCACATGGTAGTGCATCAAGAAGGCGGCTGACAGATGAGTCTGGTACTCTGCAGTGGGGTAATAGCTCATACATTCTCCATTATCAGATCACGGAATAAATATGTAATAGGTTAAAGTACTTAATATCATAAATTAAGCAGGGTCAAGACCAAGTGAACGCTCCAATATTTGATACATCATTCCGAATTATTTCACTACTTTGCAGCATATAATAATGCACTTGCAAAGTTTATGTTCCCATCTCTGATCTTCAAGCTCTTTTCATAGGTTTCAAAACTTCACTAAAAATACATTGGAATTTTTACTGTTGTGTCCTTGTGACAATGCATATATATTCATCCCGTAGTTCTATCAATTAGTCTAGCACCATGATTTAATGCACTGCAAATACTCAGCATCAAGACTCCCACAGAGCTTGTCAGCTTATCCTAGGAGCAGGTTTGGTGCAATCTGCCAGCTCCTGGTGATTTCTCGGGACCTTTTGCTAGCTTTTCCAGCTTTTTGGCATTAATAGCTCATTAATTGCTTTCTCTGAAGACAAATATGTTGAAACTCTTTAATAATTTCCTCTGCCAGCATCTATTTCTGAGCTTACCGATTCTCAGTTTGAAAGTTTTGAACATCTTGCAAGCTCTGACTTCTTGCCAAGGTTGTCTCCTACTTCTACATCGGATTTGTTCATACACCTCACAATTATCTCCACCCTGCAGCAGCATTCCACCATAAGTTTTGGCCCTGTTTTCCTAAAGATCCCCAACTCACACTTTTTTCTTGTGTCCTTTTTCTCAATGTTGTGTTTTGGTTTTTTTTTAAGTCTTGACACTTCCAAACAATGACCTAGAAGATGGTTTAACTGTTTCTGAAATTGCCTCATTGAATTATATTTTTCATGCATTTTTATCCTAAAAACACACTGGAGAGTTTAGCATTTTTAAAGAGTTCAAAGTACTCAACGCCTCAACGAATGCTAGGCTCAAATTCTGAAGACATCTGCCAGATAACGTCTACAAAATGTTTTAAGTTTTTCCTCCCTTAATTGTTCCAAGCTTTTAAACATAGTGCGCTCAGAGAAATGTCATTTTCTTAGAAGCGTATTTTACAACTCCAGAAATATTTAATTTGTAGCTTTCTTCAACAAAATGCCAAACGTATAGAAGCATTCACTACCCCTCCAATAAAAAAAACAAAGCAACCCAAAAAGCCCCAAACACAACTTCTAGAAAGAATCAGGTTTACTCAGATTAACTGACACTGATTCTTCACAGTACAACGTTTCAGAGAACATTCACCTCCACAATATTAAGACTGTTGTTTTTTTTTTCCTGGAAACTTACATATCCTGATCATGCATGTCTAATAATAAATCTGACCTAAGAAAAGTCATAATTCAAGCTTTAAATCTATTAGAGTCTAAGTTTTAAAGACATTAATTGAGGATAAAGTTGTGGTAAGCCACAGTCAAAAAACTTGGTTTTAATTTCCTGTAAAAGCTTTTTGTGCAGTCCTAGTTAGAAGTTGAAGTTATTTTTAAGAAAGCACATTTGAGAAGGCCACAGGTAATTTTAAATTTATTTATTTTTTTAAAATGAAAGCCTGCCCTCTTGTGTAAGACTGAAGTTTAGCATGACTACAGTCGAGAACACCGAGGCATTAAGATCAGTGCTATCTCTTGACTATCTAGAAAATAGGAAGCTTCCAGCGTTCGTCTGTTGGAGTGTGCTGCTTTTGCTGAATGGGGAACACACAAAGCAACTACTCATAATCACACCCTCTCTGCAACAAGAATAAAACGAAAGTGCTTTCTATTTCGCTTGTCATCTTGGCCAATAAACTACAGTCAATTTGCAAATATTGGAGTGCAAAGGTAATTTTGGAATTAGTTTCTTCCATCACCTTTTGTACGCATTCAGTAGAGACAAGAAAAAAAAAAGTTCTTCTCTGCCTAACACTGACAAATAAAGGAGAAGAAAAAGAACAGCTCAATCATTGGGACTTTCTGTTTTCTTTTCTAACCCTCATCTCAGTCAGTATACTATACAGGCATGTGCTTCCCTAAGAGAGGAGGCCAAGCATGAAGTCTACGTCACCAGTGACTTGTGAAAGCCCAATGCAGACAATGTATAAACATCGCTTAATGCTGACAAGATCCTAAAGTCGAAATCACTGAAAACTAGCATGATTACTACCTACTACCTGCATTTCACAGCCAGCACGAGCAATAAATGTTTATCCAGCTGCGTAAGTAGCAGTACTGTCACAGAACACATGGTGCAATGCATTCATTGTGGACAATATCCATCAAAGGACAAAGCTTTCACACACACTTGAAATTAAGAGTCTTCATCCCCCCAAGAAGCTGGACGCTGCAAATAGAAGTAAAAAGCAAGTAACACCTACTTTCGAAGGTGTTCGTGTTCCTTCAGGAATAGTTCTGTTCTTCTGTTATTCACGCCAGACCCACTTTTATATGATCTAAAATGTAAAAAATCGAAAGAACTGAAAAACATTTTTTCCAGAGGCTTTTCATTAGATAATATTAACTGATTTACCTATGCTTTGTACCTCTGAAGTGACCAAACAGAAAAGTTCCAGACATTTTTAATGTGATTTGGCATAGCTTAATAGCTTTACTTCAAAAACATGAATTCCTTTTCAGTTAAAAAAAACCCAAACCAAACCAGAATCTTCTCACAACCTTAACAGAAGTCGTCAGTTCAGGTGACTGCTTTGTTCAGAGCACAGATGAATACGCTGTGCCCAGTATTCTCCTACAGGAGGGTTGCTGCCTTCTCCTTCCAAGGACAGTCCTGTTGTGCCATTGCCATAACACACAATACGACTTACTCAATATCTTTTCGTACTGATCCCAACAGATTCTCCCTCTCTCGTATTGCCAAGAAGTTCGCTTTGGTTTTGTGGAATTCGTGCGTATAATCCTGTAATGAAAGAATTACTCCCAAGTGAGGATCATGAGATCAATTTAACAAAACAATATACTCCAGTAAGATCCAACCATCTTTTAAATAATTGTCTAACACATAATGTGAGACAAACTTATTAAATTAACATCAAAACCACTTTGAAGTTAAAGCAAAGTACTCTCAAAACTCACTGCTCTTGCAGCATTTGCTAACTTGCTACAGCTACGGTCACAGAGGGACATCCACTGTAATTCCTTGTCCCAATTTCATACATCTACACCTTTCTGATGAATTATCATTTTGTGTTGGAATTTCCCATTACTGGTTGAATCAGAAGCCCTAGTAAAACCTATTTATTTGGTGCAGTGAAGACTGTTTATATTGTTAAATAGACGAAAAAAAGTATTTTCTGAACACTGAAGAAAAATTCTTTTTTTTTTTTTTTCAAATGTTCAATTTGCAGTTTTACATCTGAAAACACTTCAAGCAGCTAATACTTCTAGAAAACCAATTTAACTGGCAACTGGTGTCCACCAAACCATTGTAAACATTCAGCACTATTTTTCGTATAAATGCTATCGCTTTTCCAAACACTATGCTTTTTACATTGTGTATTGCACAGGCACAAAACAGAAATCAAACTGTATATAACCAGCCAATAAATAATAAAACATGCATTTTTAACATTACCATGCCATGAAAAAAATCACCAGTTTGAAACATGATTGATTTACTACACTAATCAGTAGCTTTAGCCACCACGTTTCCTTCAACTCCCTTTAGCAGTTAAGATGGTTTTGCACTCATATTTTCTTATCTTAAATGTGATGTTCCCAGTCACCCTGCTGTGCGACAGACCGCACAGACAGGATGATCCATTACAGTACCCTTCCCCTTTTGCTATATAGAAGGCACCTACATAAGATGGCATACTTTACTGTTCTTTCTTAGCTACGTGCTAGTCACCAATATGACATCGAAAAATGCTGTTTTTTCAACTCAGAGTTCACTGACTGGGCAGCCCAGAGAGAGGAGAAGTGAGCTGGGATTGCTGGCATTTAAATGTTCTGGTAAGACATTCAAGCACACAGTGACATCAGCGCTGCTAATCATTATTCCAAACAGAGAAACAAATAAAAGCAAGAAGGACATGCATTTTTGTTACCTGCAATATGTCCCTATGACGCTGTAACGTATGCATCAGCGCAGCATTCAGGGACGGGACTCCTGCGCTGTTTGTGTATTCTGCCATTTTGTCATTTATTCCAGTAAGCTAGAGGAAGAAGAAAGAATCCCAAAACCATCAAACGGCTTATTCTCATAAGAAAGTCACAATGCATAAGATGAAGGAGCTAGCTCTAACAACAGATGCACACCTTTGGCAACACTTCTCTACCACCCACACCAGAATTTCCTAACGTTCATCACAGAAACCTATACCGCAATATTTCCTAAATGCTGAAGTTAAACCATAGTAACTTCAGTTACCTTTCCCAGAAGTTGTTCAATCTCCACAGCCATGGTCTCAAACATTCTGTCCTGGCTCGATCCATTTAAGAGAGGAGTTGTGTCAGAGCTAAGGAAAAAGAGGAGGAGCAGTTACTGAAAGTACATCATCTTTTCATGAACACAAGAAACAAGGAAACACTAGTGCCAGGTGTTGGCAAGCTCTACTACCCAGGTTTCCTACAGAAATTAATTAAGCTCAGATAAATTCCTTTTTCTTATCGTACATGCCTCTAACTCTTATCTAAACTAATGCCACAGTATCACTCAGGGGAAACATAAACTCTCCTTGAAAAACACGCCTGACATCAAACACTTGTCTACTACCAGCACGTATCTAGCACTAATGCCCTTCTCTCCCCAGCTTTTAAGCTTGATTTATTTATTTATTGGCAGGAGGGAGCACTGCACTATCAGCACGTTGTTACACCAGCTACATACCTACACCTTAATAACACAGTACTAAGACAACCCACTGACCTATTAAGCCATCAAAGTTCTACAGAGCAATACCAACCACACAATTCATCACAATTACAGTTTCATACAGCACACCTTCCCCGTGCTTTTTAAGATAAACTAAAACCACAATGAGAAGTCATATCTAAGCAACAGAACAGAAGCACAATGCAGGGTACAGAAATCTGCAGAAGTACAACTGCTAACACCTTTCAGAGACTATGTTTTGCTTTGGTAAGCCACCATAACTAGAGTAAGAGAAGCAAGTTTTGCACAGGACAGCAAAAATAACTAAAACAATTAGATTACATGGCAAGAAACAGCACAAGAGCTAGAAACAAGACAGAGACTAGGACTCTGATTCAACAATAACTTGATCATTCTTGAGGTTCTCTCAGGCTTCCAGAACCAGAAATTCATGGAAAGGTTCAAAATTGATTCAATAATCAAATTAAACTAATAGATAAAAATATCCACACACATACACACAGTAGTCACACTCACAATTGATACACAGTGTTGAGACCCACAGTTAATAAGCAAAGAATGGCAGTTTTTAAGGGTTGTGCAGAGGAACAGATAAGTTGATAAAAGGGCTGTGGAACTGCAGACCTGAACTCCGGCCCACAAGCTAGAAAGACTTGAAAAGTTTTATCATACTAATTCTTCAATCAGACATGAATTTGACTAAAGCAAACAGAAACTATTCATACATATACACATGTATTTATGTGTCTGGTTCATATACAGATAAAAACATATATATAGCTATCACTATTATTACTCACCTTAGGAGAAAGCCAGAACAGATCAGCTGCCCCTCCTGAAGGGGCTAATCCCCAGCCCAACCTGGGACCCATCACAGCTGCTCAGCGCTTCCCTTATCAGTAGAGCAGGGATTACAAATACCACAGCAGCCCACCTGGGAGGTGCAAGGCTACATTCCCCTAAGATTGAAGTCCCTGAAAACCTCCTGCTAGTTTAATACAAAAAAACCTGGAAAATAAGCCGATGTAGCAAGCATTAACAAGTCCTATCATTAGTTCACACACTAACCCCACACAGTTACAAACTGAAGTTTAAATTCAGCTTCCCCTAGTGAAACGTATGCTGTCACCATGCACCACTGCAGCCCACGCTCCTTTCTGACTCCCGTGCCAATACCGCTCAGTATTGTATCAAGACCAATGCCAGCACCAAGAAGCGCTGAAATGAGCTTCTAAGAAGCTAAACATAAACGCCACAGGTGGAACCGGCGTTCAGCACATTATAAAAATAAACTAAGTACCACAAGCCGCATTTAAAACATAAAGAAATGGGCTAGTACCTATACCTGTCGCGCCTTCCGTCTCGGGTGCCGCTGTAGCTGGTGCAGAGCTTGCTGAAGGAGACCAGCTTCAGGTCCAGCTCGTTCTCCAGCTGCCTCGCCTGCTTCCTGAGATCTGCACAGGGCGGCCGAGCAGTCACAAACCCGCAGGGGTGGAGGGGGACGGGACGCGTTTGCCCGAGGTGCTCTCAAGCGGAGCTGGCCTGCCCGCTCGGCAGCCCCACAGAGGGGAACCCCACAGAGCAGGGGGGACCGACAAGG